ACACACCGCCAAAACTGCATATTATGCCTTGATGGAGTTAGATGTTAGATATGGAATCGCATTCTGGGGATTCTTAACTCAGACATCCGTTCAGTCAGTGTTTGTCTTACAGAAAAGAGCCCTCAGAACTTTATGCAATGCAGCTTACCAAGAAAGCTGCAAACCCCTCTTTGTTTGGGAACGGATCTTGACAGTGCCATCAATTTTCATTCTGGAGACGGCCTGCTTGATTTTCAAGAAGTTTCAGAACTATGATAAGGTTGAGAGCTATAGTTTAAGAAACAACAGCAATTTACCCTTACCAATACCGAAATCTGCATTGGTGAAACATTCAATAATTTATGAGAGAATCAAAATTTTTAATCATCTGCCAAGGGAACTAGAAAACAATGAACAGTACAAACTCTTTCGAAAAAAACTTGAAGAGTCCCTAATTGAAAAAGCTTATTATAGCCTGGGAGAGTTTTATGAATGACAGCGGTTTGTTTATGATTCCTTGCAAAATTTATTTGTAGCTATTATATTATTTAAGAGTTTTATAAGACGGATTATGTTACTATATTTTAAAGTTTTTATTTATTTTATTTTATTTTATTGTATTTTATTTATTTATTTTTTTATTTGCTTGTATGATTTCCCATTTTGAATTTGTTGTTTGTTATTTCGAATTTGTTCGTTATTTTAATCTTGGATTGGTTATATAATGTGGTGTCTTGGTTTTTGCCTATATTGACATGTTGTTTACAGCCTAAATCTTTTATCCATTTCCAATAATACTTATTATATACCTGGTAAAAAATTTTGCTGAAGGCTTCTTTCATGAGACTAGTGTCACGCTGCTTGAAGCACTTACCTAGATTGTTATTGTTATTTTAGACGGAACTTTTTGTGAAATTTTATTACCTGCCTTTTATGTAGGTATAGTTTTTAGGACTTACTTTGTACCTTTTGCTTTGTCAGTGATTTTGCTAAGAATTAGGACAATAAAGCTTTATGGAATTGAATTGAATTGAATTGAAACACAATGTGGCCTTGGACCTAACCAAGAGAAAGTAGAAGTGATCTTCAGCGTAAGAATCCGATTTGTATAGCACTTATAGACTTTAGCAAGGCTTTTGACTCTGTTAATCGAGAAGTTGCCTGGAAAATAATAACATCAGGCCTCTGTCCGCCTCAATTTGTCAACGTACTCCGTTTTCTGCGTGACAATATGAATGCCACCTTCCTTACCAAAAGTAGACTCGGAGAACTTTCCAGATCACAAACGGAGGGAAGCAAGAATGTGCCATTGAAGCAAGCTTGTTCTCGAAATTTATAGGAATCTACGAAAATCTGCCGTTGAGTGATGAAATTACTTATCAAACTCCTAGTGAGCTTTTCAGTCTTAGCAGAGTTAGCAAGGTATCAACGATAACTCTATTGGTGAGTTTCAATGTGCTGATGAAAACGCTGTCCTGGTAAACACAAAGGAAGACGTACAGTCTGCTCTAAATGCATTTAAACAGGCACACGAGAAAATTGGTCTGGAACTTAACATAAACAAGAAAAAGATCCGATACCAAACTACATCAAATATTGATGCACTAGTTTCAGATTGATTGACAATGAAGAATACTTAATATATCGTACGATATTTTTGAATAAATACCAATATCGACGGAGCAATTCAGAACTACTAAACAGTACCATCGCAACATTCGGGCATCTCTCAAAAAATGAGAAGAAATGTTTATACCAAAAGCGCAACTATACCACATCTACTGACTGACTGATCATCAAGGGTTATACCGGACCTTAGTGGAATCAAATCAGGCATTTGCTCGAAATATTCTTTGAACACATCGATATTCATGTCCTCGTAGTAGTCATGAGTGTTTGTTACGAGCCTGAAGCTACATGGGGAAAGCTGAGGGAGAAAATAATGAAGGGAGGGATATGACTCTTGAAAGTGGCCTAAAGAAGAAGTCCGACTTATAGGGCAGCTCCGACTAGCCCACAAATTCCGGTGAGTGGGGTGGGTCTAAATAAAGACGCCACCTGTTTTTTAACCCTGCAAGTAGGTCAGTCTCAAAACAGGAAACAGCCTAGAGCATACAAAGAATCAAATCAACACCAAAGAAAGGAAGGTTTAAAGGCGATCATCTTTAACTGAAATCTCCTAGGATTGGAGAACTCGTGATCGCGACGCAGACTGAAAAGAACTGAAAATTCCAAATGTCAAAAATCAGCTGTGAAGGGAAAATAGAAGAAAATTACTGATTATTAAATTGTATGGTCTTGTTTATCTTGCTTGATTCGCTCCATTCAGAATTTGTTTTTGAAGTGAAAACTTCTTTAGAATCGTTGGGAGTCATTTGAGACTCGATGAAACGAAAAAGCGACCCTATATATGAAACGAAAAAGCGACCCGATGAAACGAAACGAAAAAGCGACACTTTTTTAACACGCTTATATTAACACACAACACAACAAGAACCGGAACAAGCCAAGTGAGCTGGAACAAGTCCGGAAAATGTCTGGATAATGTCTGGAAATCTCTGGAAACGTCTGGAAAGAGCCTGGAAATTTCTGGAAAGGGTCGGAAAAATTCTGCCAAAGGTCCTAAAAGGCCTGGGGATCATTTTCTAGAATCCGGATCAGTCTGTACAAGTCTGGATAAGGTCTGGATAAATCTAGATAAAGTCTGTAAAACTCTGGATAAGTCTGGTTATTGTCTGGAAATCTCTGTAAACTCCTGGAAAAGACTTGGAAATTTCTGGAAAGGGTTGGAAAAATTCTGAAAAAGGTCCCAAAAGACCTGGGGATCATTTTCCAGAATCCGGATCAGTCTGAACAAGTCTGGATTAATCTGGATGAAGTCTGGAAAACTCTGGAAAGCTCTGGATAAGTCTGGATAATGTCTGTAAATCTCTGGAAACGTCTGGAAAGAGCCTGGAAATTTCTGGAAAGGGTCGGAAAAATTCTGCCAAAGGTCCCAAAAGACCTGGGGATCATTTTTCAGAATTCGGATCAAACTGTACAAGTCTGGATAAGGTCTGGATAAATCTGGATAAACCCTGTAAAACTATGGATAAGTCTGGATATTATCTGGAAAAGTCTGGAAACGTCTGGAAAAGACTTGGAAATTTCTGGAAAGGGTTGGAAAAATTCTGAAAAAGGTCCCAAAAGACCTGGGGATCATTTTCCAGAATCCGGATCAGTCTATACAAGTCTGGATAAATCTGGGTGAACCCTGGAAAACTCTGGAAAGCTCTGAATAAGTCTGGATAATGTCTGGAAAAGTCCGGGAATCTCTGGAGCTGACACGTTTTTATAATACACCGAAGTGAAAAATAAATATATTTTAAAAAAACTAAAAAACACACTTTTATAGTAAATTGAACTAAAAAGTGAAAAATAATTTTTAATATAAACAGAAAATATTAATGAACAAAAAATATTAGAATTATTGTCAAAAAAGCGTGGGGTGCTCAATGTATGAGAAATGTGGAACAAAGCACCCCAGCGTGTATTTTAGTTTTTTTAAACTATATTTATTGCGTTCTTTCTCAAGTCTTGGAGGGGGAGGGGACGCCACTGTGTATGTTAGTATGTGTGTAATGCATGCAGTTCGATGAAGGTTTCACTTCTACCGGGTGTGAACTGCACAGGATTTTTTTTTACGTACATTATTTCTTCTTAAATTTTCCATAACTTGTTATATTATTATTTGTGGTAAATCTTCAATAATTTTTCTTCTTCTTGTTGTTTTTTTTCAAGATGACATGATTACCTGTCCATGAAACGTTGGAAAAAGTTTTTTGGCAATGATTTATTATTTTACAGATATGTACATCAATTACTTTAGCCGAGACATTCGAACCGATATCAATTTGCTTCGAAAATGTCGCTTTAGTAGATATCAGCTGCAACTATTGTTGGAAACCGGCAAACTCTATTGAACTCCGAAAAGTACAGGATATTTAGGCGTAAACATTTTAATCCACTCGAAATTCAAATTGAAGCGTTTAAGTCGGAAGCCTTGTTACGATTTCACTAATCGAAAAATGTAATATTTAGTGCGATTTAAGAATCATTGTCCTTCTGTTTTTGACAGTTAATAAATTCCCCAACCATTTCAATATTCACAAAAAAGTGAAGTAAAAATTGGGTTTCAATGTTACTAGAACAAATTAATCTAATCCATTGAAAATACCAATCGTTTATAAAAAACTTTTTGTTCAATGTTTGATGTTTTCAATATTCATTCAAAAATAAATGGTTTTGCATAGTAAATGGGAATTCCTCGTTTAAAATTATTTAGATTGTTAATTAAATATTTTGATTACATTTAGTGCTTTTGAGTTAACCATGAGAGCGTCTAGTTACATAAACTTCAAATGTGTCAATTAACAGGCCAAATAAAATCTCTGATGTTAGCTCTTGATTCAATTAATTAATTTAGTAATGTTTGATAATAGTTATTACTAAAACTCAATATTATCTTCTTGTAATTTGATTAATATATTCAAATTCAATTTCAGAAAATTAATTATGAATAGCAGCATTAAAGCCTGTGAATAATATGTAATTGACACACTTTTAAATAATTGATAATAATAAAATTGAAACCCCAAATTGCATTGTGAGTTTATTACACAATTTAATTAAATGTGGTACATACTCCCGGGCGACTATGCATTAAAACGTATTATAAATACTTTAACAAAAAATTAAATTATCAAAATTGACAATAATTTTCAGATGAGGGCGTAAAAATTATAACAAATTTTGCACTACATTGTAATTTACCAAGAATGATGTCAACTATTGCTATACCTATGGTTACCTTTAAATATTGAAGCCACAATTTATTCTGGATCAATTTATACCGTATAATCTCATCTAGGATAAAAGTTCTCTAAACTAAATTCCAGGCATTTGAAGTATTTTCCGTTTATCAAATTTAAAAATGTAGGTAATGACAATGTTATTTTTGAATTAAAATTTAGTATTTTCAGAATATGCAATCCACGCCGATGCTGAGCCCCCTGAGCACCGACTCGACACCGAAACGAGATTGGAAAAAAAGACTCAGCCTCAGGGATCACAGAAAACGAGACTCGGTAAGATTTTTTGTACATGCGCGCCATTTAAATGTCCATGGTGGAAGAATAATAGAAATAATTATCTTTCGCATTCTAATTTATACCTTTCAAAATCTATAAAACTTATTGGATTAGAGAATCTTAGTCTTTATGTTAAAACATTATGGAACTAAATTTGCGTTCCTCACTTGAAAAACTACATATTCTATGATCAAAATTAATTGAAATAAATAAACAATGAAGCTTCAGATTTTTGGAACCTGTAACATTGCAAATGGTACTTTTTTTTTTTCTTTCAAATATAATTTTATATTACCTTTAATGTTGACTGTCTCTCCGTTGGCCATTTTTGAGGAGAGGCTCTGCTTGTTCAGTTTGTCCTTTTCTTGGTTCCTTTTAAATCTTGCCGTTGCCCTGAAAGGTCGACTCAGTCCGGGAGGGTAGCCATCTTCCCCAACTGTGATAGCCATCTTCCCCAACTGTGATTACCGTTCTCGTAGAGAAAAATACCTTATCGGCCATCAGGCACTGCGTAAAGCAATAATCCATTTAATACCGGAAAAACTTTTTATTTTTTTCTAAAAGTACTGGTTGTTCGTGGAATGCCTCTATTACTTAGGGTTTACCGGGGAGCCTTTTTTTTCGAGGAGCTGTTTTTTCCGATGAGCTGTTTTTTCCGAGGAGCGTTTTTCTGAGGAGCGTTTTTACGAGGAGCCGTTTCTCTCAACGAATCCATTTCCATAAGGCCACATTTTTAAAAGAACACCATTTTCGTGGGGCGTGGCATAGAGCTTTTGAAGGGATTCCTAGAGGAATCAAGTCCCTCACGAGTCGATACGTGTACCCCCACATTTGACGACGAAAACTGAACTTCTAGCCTTGATTTCAGGCTAGAATTTGCAGGTTCCCTCGTTAAGTGGCTGAGAATGGATGGCTACCGTTCTCTCCTTTTTTTGTTGGAATGAAGGCTTGTATAGAGTTTTATTTATAAATTTCACTATTTCTTTAATGAAATCTACTTCATGATCAATAAACAAAATTAATTGATTTTCTTTATTTATCATGTAATTAAAAACTTTAAATACGGCGGTAATAAAAGTTAAGTAAAGATAAAATATAGTAAATACGGTGAATCAAATATCGGAAATAATTATTTAAAGTTCACTGGTGTCAAGAATACGAAATTGGAAGGGTAACGCACACCTAACATTTGTTTTTTGGGCTCTATGGATTTTGCCTATTTTTTGATATGTTTTAGAGGATTTAATTCTTAACAACTTTCAAATGGGACAAAATCTTGTAGGTATTACGATCTTTGAATTATGAGCGTTGAAAGATGAACTTTTTTGCGACTTTTTGTATGGAGATTATACGAAATACTGGTGTTTATTAGTCAAAATATTGGCAGGTTCAAATATTTTACGTCACTAACAGATGTCAACCTAGGCTAAGCCCGGGACCGCACTGGCGCCAACATTGACCCCAGTGCGGTCCCGGCCTTAGCCTATGTTGACATTAATTTGTTAGTGACGGAAAATATTTGAACCTGTCAATATTTTGACTGATAAACACCAGTAGCACCATCGCATACATCAATACAAAAAGCCCATGTTAGGTGTGCGTTATCCTTTCAATTTCGTATTCTTGACACCAGTGAACTTTAAATAATTATTTCTGATTTTTGATTCACCGTATTTACTATAGATTTATCTTTACTTAACTTTTATTACCGCCATATTTAGAGAATGTACTTATATTTCATCAATGATAACCAATCAGTAATCTGAACAGAAGTTAAGCTTGGACAACATGCTCTGAATTTAAAATTATTGAGTAAGTACCTACGTCGTCAAAAAAATTATCAGTTTTTCACCCTGGGTCCTATAACTTGTATATTTGAGGATTTCTATTATATCTCCTGACCATTTAACCCTACTTTCGATTTCATACAGGTGCAAGTTGATTTCACTGAATTTATTCTTTTGGCAGAAGCTGGCCATATTTATCAATAAAATTTTCAATCATTTTTTTATCAATTTTCTGGAAACTTAAATGCTTCATATTTTTCTTTCAAATTAATGATATGGCCAGCGACTGTTAATGAACTTATGTGCCAATTATATTGAGGTAGGTACATACATTGTAATATTATTATTTTTTTTGGAATTTGATGAATCTGATTGAGAGTCAACCTCTATTCATTGATTTTTTTTTAAGTGTCTTACCAGCAACAGATTTTATATTTTGAAATTATCCAATACTTGATTTTTTATGTCACTGTGAAAATATATACTAATTTAACTTAAAACTTACTTAATGTTTTATTGGTTTTACCTATGTCAAGATTTGGTTGAGTTATATGCCTCATTTATTTCCTTTTCAGAATTATCAATTACCGTTTGCTGATTATTTTTTTATCCCATTTTGACGTTTAAAAATGACATTATTGAATGCATAATAGCAAAAGTAAGTAGACGTTTATCACCTAAGTGAGTTAAAATATTTTTAACTCACTCTCGGTCTTTTGAGTCACTCTGCCAGTATAAAAATCTGCTAAAAATACAAAAAAATAACTAGTTATACCCTAGCAAGGGTTCGTGAGTTGAACTTTCTTCTCATGATTTAACATTCATTTAACTCACTTGGTGTATAAATAACTATTAATGTGTGTTTCTGAATTTTCACCCTTCAATATTTTATGTAATTAAATTATATATATATTTTTTTTATTCAGTGGCGCCCTTTCAATTCTGTACTTATTAAACTATTGACCCACCCCTAATAATTATTCGCTGAGCAAACTGAGCACATTATTGGCCTCTTGTTAATTTGTTAACAACAGGGGTTATTAAATTAGCGCCCAACTTGAGGGGCCACGAAACATCACATATTAACATCATTAAAATATTGTACAGTTTGGTATTATCTTTTACCTTTTATCTTCGCATAACTCAACTACGTGACTTTAGGTATACCAGTATTACGTAAATAAATCTAAATTATTCAATTCCTACGATAATATATTTTCCTATATCTTTACCGAGCAAAATTTAATGAAATACTCTCTTTATCTACCTACTGATTCTTGATATTTTCCCTGTGAATTTTATCTCGCATTTCTTCAATAAAACTGAATTCTAATTTTCTTTTGAAAAAGAATAGGTAGCGGATAGTTCTGCCTAGCGTTCCCGGCGAAGGATAGGCTGTTCAGGAACACACAGCGCTCCTGCCTTCGTGAACTCTCAATTTCTCTCATTTCCCACTCTGAGGAAAATCTTGTCCTTGTACCTATAGTCCCATAAAAATACCCCATTTTCGTCCCCGTCCCTATTTCATAGGAAAGTTTTCTCGCTCCTACTAAATGATTTTAATAACTCAGTGTCATGAAATGCATATTTCTTTGCTTTGTTTTATCAATGTATCTTCTGTTTTGATACATCATCTTACTGTTGTCGATATGTACATTTTATCGTGTCATGCATAGAATTGCATTGACATAATATTTTACCGTTGTCTTATCGAATGTAATCCCACCACAAAAGGTTTCAGGATTACCTGATAATACGAACTAAACTTTAATACACCAAGCGCGATAATCCCGAAAGGCTTATCACTTCTTAAGCCTTTCGTGTCATATGGGAATAATGTACAGAGAGTTGTATAACTTTAATTGTATAACTTTAATAAACCAAGCGCGATAATCCCAAAAGGCTTATCACTTTTTAAGCCTCTCGTGTCATATTATGGAAATAATGTACAGTGAGTTGTATAATCGAATGTAATACCACAAGAGGTTTCAGGATTACCGGATAATACTTTTACCTGGTCAGGTAAAAGTATTAGGTAATCCTGAAACATCGAGTGGTATTCAAAAGGTTATACCACGAACTAAACTTTAATGCTTTATTAATTTTTATTATTATTAATAACAATATTGCCACCAAGCGCGATAATCCCAGAAGGCTTACACATATTGAGCCTCTCGTGTCATATGGGAATAATGTAAAGTGAGTTGTATAATCGATTTTTTTTTTTAATTTGTTAAATTACCTATTCTATCGCTTACCGTTGATAATACTATTTATTTACCTACACTTGCCGGTGTTCATGATGCAGAATCAGATTCCACCAGCCATTTTCGTCATGATTTTTGTTCGGAATTTTTTTTCTTGTTCCTTTATTAACTACTTTTCTCTACATACCGCTCTATCTTTCTCTATGTCTCTCTCTTTCTTACCTTACCATCATTTTGCTGTTATCGAGGATGTTACCGTTGTGGCCTAATACAAAAGGTTTGTATTTAGGGAGTGGTATGTGAGTGTGCTTTTCTGTTCTTCAGAGAAAGATCCTTCTGAAGAATGAGAAAAGAAAAATAAACAAAAAAGTTTGATTTGATTTGCCGCGTGCCATTGCTCCGGGGTGAAGTTATCTCAAGTTTTCCCTTATACGAGCTGTGTCGACTCCTGTTTAAGTGATTTCTCTTCTTCGTTAGGGGAAATCAATTGGACGGGCTGCTGCCTACGACTTCATTGAGACAGGCTTGGTAGCGAGGAGTTAGAGTCGGGTAGTTCTTTGAGGAATAATGGTGATTTCAATGGAAAGAGCCATTCTTGGGATAATTGCACTCCTAAGTGTGTTCGTCCGCATACTGACTTTCTTTTTCTACCCTTCTTGATTGAGCCTTTTTACGGATAACTTGTATATTAGCGGCTGATCCCCGTTGTATACAAGGGATGAAGGGTCTCTCTTACTTCGTCTCGCCCAGAACTATATCTAAATTGGGGTTTTATCTTTTCACTGCGCAGGTCTTTTCCTGTGCAGTTGTTTTTTTGTACCGTTTCATAATGGTAAATAACGTTGCAAGTTCAGTCAAGTTTTTAGAGGACCCCACCAAATTACCAATTGCAAACATGAATAAAACCAAGAGAATAATTTTGCCTACATAATTTTTTTTTGAGTGGTGTTCGGCTGGACTATTTCACGAGAAAAACAAGCCAACTTTTCATTTGGAAAATTTA